TAATCTCCTGGAAATCTGTTTGCATCTGTTTTATGGATTCCATTTGTTTCCTATGTTGGGATTCCATCATGTTCCTCAGCTCCTCTATGTTTTTATCTGTGTCTGTTCTAGAGTTATTAATCATGTCTAGCACCATGGACACAATCTCTGTTGTTATCTGAGAAATTATTTCTGATTTCATTTTTTCCAGATCCTCTTTTGTTGCCTGTTCAGGAAGTCCAAGTGGTTGAGTATCAGATTGTTCCATCTCATTGCCCTTTGTGGTTACCTTAGGTGATCTGGAAGTCTGGTTTCAAAACTTGTTTCCATGTCTTCTCATTTCAACAGATGCAGCCTGCTGTGCCTTTGGTGAGGCAACATTTTGCTTGCCCCATGGTCTTCAATTCTCAGCAAGCCACTGAGAGGCCTTTTCTATGCTGCTCACCACTGCACCAATTCCTGGGTTCAGAATGGTGACCTTTTGGATCCCTGTACTGCCCTGTTGTCTGGGCAGGATTCTGGCTGGGGCCCGTACACACTTGGGATAGTATCTATCTGAGTGGGCCTCTGACTGGGGCCTGCCCACCTGCATAGCTGTTGTCTGGGAGGGCCTTTGGCTGGGGGCTGTGCACCCGAGTTCACTGGTGTCTGAGCGGGCTTCTGGTTGGCATCTCTGTGCTCTTAGTGATGATATCTGGATGAGCCTCTGGCTGTTGCTTGTGTGCCTGTGCAGCTCTTTTCCAGGTGGGCCCTTGGCTGTGTTCTGTGGGCCCAAGCTGCTGGGATCTTGCCGGGGCCCTGACTGGAACCTGTGCACACTCACGCACCTCTGGTCCACGTGGGCTTCTTACTGGGATCTGCCCTTCATAAACATTTTATAAATTGACTGCCAATAATTGTGATTTAGAGATAATGAAGCCAAAGCTCAGTAGGTTTTTCAAAGCCACACAGTTAGCAAATTTTTACTCTTCAAATTACTTCACATATCACATGATCTTAAAAGATTCTATAAATAAATGAGATGCAGAGATTCAGGACACAATGTGTTCCATAAACAAAAAGAAAGTGAGGCAATAAGCAGAAGTCAAGAGGAGGCAGTTTATGCAGGTGACCAGGCAAGGTGTTGTTGAAAAGGTGGTATATGGGTCTAGACACAAATGAAGAGCAAGAATTAGCTATGAAAAATCTGAGAAGCAAAAGAACAAGAAAATATGTTATAAAATGAAAAAAAACCCTCAACTTCTCTAGGAAATAGAATGAAACCCGTGTGGCTGCTCTGAGGCAGTAGAGAGCAAAGGTGAAAATGACAGATGATTATTTGCCTGAGAAATATCTTATGATGTTAATCTGCCAAATTGTCATGTAACATTCAAATTTTAAGAATAATCAATATCCAGCTAGGGAAATTAGATTTCTCACTTATAAAGGAATCACCAGAAGGGAAAAGGTACATTAGTAAATGTACAAAACTGGGATATTATTTCTGGATAAGTTTAATCAACTTCCAAAAAGTTCTTTCTTGCATGTGGAAAAGATGTATGGAAAGCTGACCACTGTGTGAAAGGATATTTTCCTTCTCTTTCTTTGTATGCCACTGACAAGGAAAAGTTTTAAGGAATGTTGCATTTTTTTGACAGTGATATTATGCCATGCACTCTTCAGAATAGAATGTGTGAAATTAGTGACAGTGTGGATGTTAACCCAGATATCCCAGTTCTACAAGACAAAAAAAAAACTTTTTAAAGCTGTAAATTGATTTAACCCAAAGAAATTGAAAGAAAACATTAGCAATAAGCATTGAAATTTCTCTAAGTATTGAATTTAACTCCTCCTTTTTTATCCATTCATGGAATTCAAGCTTACCCTTGCTGTCCAGTGGAAGTCTAAAGCCATATACTTCTGAACAGTACAATCCTACAAACACTCCTGCATAGTGTTCCATATTTTCATATCTTGGTAAATACATTTATCTTTTATATCTTTATTCATTCAGTCATTCAATAATTTTGCACTGAAAATCTACTAGTTTCCAGTTACTATGAAAAGGTGTTAAAGATCCAGAAGGGACAAATCAACAAAGTCCTGTCAATTAGCTTACAGTCTAGTATGGAAAGTTATGATAAACAATGATGTAACATTGGTTACTCGCACTAATATAAATAAAAAAAATGTAGGAGTATAAAGTGTAGGGTTCCATTTCACATATGATGGCAAGTGAAGAATTCTCTGGGCAGGTGGCCCTTGAATGAAGACTGAAGGGAAAGCAAGACACATGGGTAGATGTAGAAAGAACCTTTCAGAGAAAAACTAAAGTCTCTGTAATAGTAACATGCTTGACATTTTTATGCCACATCAAGAAGTTACAGTTGGAAAGGGTAGTGATTAATAGGGAAAATGGGGAGGGGGACTAGTGAGGAGCAATTCAATGTGTAAATCCTTCTTCTAACTATAAGGTCTTTGGATTTTATGGTACATTTGATAGGAAGCCTTCTAGGCTGAAAGGAATACAAGTCAAATATCTCACCAAAATGATATGACAACTTTAAAATTTTCTTCCACCTGTTATTGATAAAAGGTTTTATGTGTTTCCACAGATAACTTTTCTCCCAACATGTGCCTCTGAGCCTTGGGTAGACAAATATACCTGACCACCCACCACACATCTCTAGATGATGATGACTTCCAACATATCTGAGCATAGCATTCTCACCAAGGCTTCATGCTGAAGGCAGAACACTTTGTTCTAAAATAAATACTAATAATAAAATGCTTGACACCAAGTGTATTAACCAGAATGCTATTTTGATCCCCACCTCTTAAGTCTCATACATAGCCATTCTGTGCTGATTTTTGTTGATTTAGATGAGATCAACACCATAGCAATATGCTTTTTCATACATGTTTCAAACATAACCAAACAGAATAACCTACAAGCTAATTGACAATTAGAGTAAGATGTTACTGAAGTAGAAGAAAAGCAGTCTAAATGAAGGTAGAAGAAAAGCAGCAAAACATGGCAAGGAAAGTAGCAGGAGAGACTGAAAGAGATAATTTAAGATAAACAATTTTAGCACGTAGCAAGGAAGTACCAGACCGCAAGCTTTCTGTTTCCTGCACAGAAACAACTACTTGCTAAAGCTACCTTAAAAGAACTCATCCCCAGGGAACGGGTGAATGGCATACTTCTGAAGGCCAATTTATTTATATCTTCCTAATTAAAACACCCCCAGACTGGAGAGAGATCCATAAGGACAGAGATTTTAAAATTCTTATTCAACAGTAAGTCCTCTGACCCAAACATTATCAGGTACCTAGCAGTTATTCAATAAATAGTAGTTGTTAAATATATGAATAGGTCAATGAATGGGATTCTAGGAAAATGCTATACTTGCCTCTAAGCTATTCACATATGAAAGGTAGGGATCTCTAACCTTTAATTCATTACTTAGATCATACTATCTCCTAAATTATTTGTGTTTTCTGAAACCTTCAGGACGGATGTTTCTGAGTCTGGGAAAATCCCCCTCTTGTCTTCAGGAAGCACGACAGTGGTGAGAAAGCACATTTCAGGTGGCCAGGAAACCCCGCACCTCACCACAACAACGCACCACACACCGTCCACCGTCTGGGCCGCTGGAGCATGAACTACAGAGAGCTGGCAGCGCAGGGCACACAGGAGGTAAAAGGAAGGGGCGGAGACAGCCGCCGGATATAACCGTCGAGATGCCTCAGAGAACCCAGAGACTGAACAAGAGCTCCAAGGAAGACTGCAGGCTGACTCGACTTGAAACTCACCGGCAATCTTGCGAGTAAAGATGAATTCTGAAGAATGTCCCACAACAGAGACCAGTTCTTTGCATCAGGAGAAAGGGAAAAAGAGTAAGTCAAATCTTGATTTCTTATATCCTGATGATGTCTCTCTGTGTCACATATGATGCTGTTAGAGAAGAAAATGCGACAGTGTTTCAGAGAACTTGGTTAGACTCTATTTCCGTTGGCATAAAAGAGTGACCGGGAAGAGGTGAATACAGAATCTCCATCTGTGGGACAATATAAGGCTTGAGATGAGAGGATATTACAAAGGTGAATTTCAGAAAATCTTTAAAGATATTTTCCTTTGAATCAAATTATCATCCAACTTTGAGATTTAAGAGCAAAGCTCCCTTCCCATCTACACCCTAGCCCATCTACACCCCATTAAACATCTGTATCTACCGTTGCATACTCCGGGAAATGTTTCCTCTTTCTGTGGGAAATTCCGTTCTCCATTTAAGCAATCGCATTCTTGGTTATTTTCCCTTGTAGCTTGGTATGCTTTCCATGGCCTCATCTCGTGTTGTCAGGGCAGAATCCCCCAGTTGCTGGAAATGTGAAGGATTTCAGACTTCCAGAGAACCATTATAAAAGTACCTGAAAGTTTACAGCGGCCTCTGGTACTTTATTTGGAGAATAAAAAGAAAAAAGTTCTCAAAAATACAATCTTCTACTTTGATATTTTTTAGGAAATTTTTTTCTCCACTTCTTTCTTCTCCTTTACTCTTCTAATCACTGGCTTCAAATTCTACATAGCTGGTTATTTTTCTTCTTTTTTTTGTTTTTCATCAAAGTGTGATCATTTTATAAATGTTCCTCTTTTCTATTTGCTGTATCTATGTACCTACTCTGTTTCCTATTACCAAATTTTTTCATTGTTTTTTTCTATCTTGTTTCTGTAAGCTTTCTTGATTTTTTTCTACTTTGACTCTCTTTCACCCTAATGAGTGAGATCTCCCAAAGTACTGACACTTAGGAATTAGTGCCTTACTCTAAGCAAGGACTACCCAGTTAATGAAGAAATTCATTAGAAACAACAGAGCCAAAACAATCTCCAGAGGAAGAAACTGTTTTTTGACCATACATCTATTAGCTTGGTTTACTGTAGAAAAGTATCATTTATCTTTGATCAACGCAACTTTTTTTTAAAAACATAAATCAAATGTGGATAAAAAGTACAAGTCACGTAAATTTCTAGGCAACTGGGTGAGCTACAATTGTATGGCTCCACTGAGCTGCTGAAGAAAAGAAAATGCTAAAATTACTGAATCTATAGAGACCATAATTGAGAGGACATGATATAGAAATTCTTTTTTTTTTTTTGTACCGGTGATCGAACTCAGGACCTTGCGCTTGGGAGGCAGACACAGTGCCACTGGGCTAAATCCCTGGCCCATTGTAGAAATTGTTAATATTATCTAGGGTCATCACAATCTTCTATTGGATATTTATGCTTCCGCTGTAGCTGTTTTGGTGGTATGAACAATCAGTGGGTATCACCCTTGGTTGACTCTATAGGTAACAAATAGGTGGATCTATTTTCAGTTTCTCCATTAAAGGAGAGGACCTATCATCAGAGCAGAAGTGTGCAGTGGGGGGAAATGTTTTGTCACCTAGGTGACAAGACAAACTGTGGTTAACGGTAGCCCTCGTTAATGTAAATAAAGTGTCACATGAGAGTCACCTCCATAGCTGGGAGGACCAATGGGTGGCACTAGCTCTGAGCTCTGATAGTCACTTGGATGTTTCAGTGCTTGCTGAGGAGCCAGAGGTACTGCAGCCTTGAGTGTAAGCGGCATGGTTGACTCTCACATGATGAGAAGTGAAACTAAACAGATCTCTGAACCTGGAACCTGACCTGCCAAAGACTGCTTCTTATGAAAGTTGTCTATGGATGAAAACTGGAAGAATTACTTTGAGAAGCAGTGAGAAATAGGGCTGGATAGCAGTAAACCAAAGACTTTGCTTGCAAAATCTGGAAGCAGAAATGTGCAGGGGAAAAGAACCCCTAGAAGAGGCAAAAGTTGATGTTGATAGTAGCTGCATGATAAATTACTGCAAAGAAAGGAACATCTCTTCAGTAAATTTACCTTTAGACAAATGTTTTGAGTGGAAAAAAATGCATACATTTCAAGCTATGTCTTGTATAAACACCTTTTTAGTTGTGAAATCATCTGTATTGAGAAACAGGATGTTTTTGTATTTGGAGACTTTTTATTTGTCAGTGATAATGTCAACCCAGTACCCATTTTACATTTCAGTTTTTAAGACCATAATTGGTAATCATAATAGGGACTTTGCAAACACACTAGGATATGCTTGGGGGGTCCCTTTTTTAAAAAAATCTTGATACCTCATCCTTCAACAGCAGGGTCCAAAGTCTGAGCCACAAAATTCTTTACTCTTTTTTTCCAGTTATTTACTTTTATTCATTTACCAGTAGATGTCTACCTCTTCTAAATCCTTCCATAGAAATATTTCTTATTGGTTAAAGAAAGTTTTGACATTGTTTAATCATTATACAGAAGCATAAACGAAAAATTATCTTCTACTCAGTATCTCTTCTATAACAGTGCTATGTTTCCTCCATTATTGTGACAACACTTGGAAAATTCAAATATTTCACATTTACTTGTAATTTTTTTTTAGCCTCCCAAGTGCTGGGATTACAGGCATGTGCCACCATGCCTGGCTGTATATTTTTAAAATTAATTTTATTGGTATATTTTAGGTATACAATAT